GAAACACAGCCACCTCCACACACAGGTAAGGGAAACACACGGTGGGGGGACAAAACTCTATACTAGGGTCACAGACTCCCTCACTAAGCTTCCCTTTGTATCTCAAAGCTACAGTCATTGCTTTGTGGGGTGTCACTGCTACTCCCCCAGACCTTAGTGAAATTACTCCTGGGTCCTCAGTTGAGAGGCAAACCAATGAGTCTCCTTCCCTAGGATTACTTCCTGGGTAGGCAGAGGCCTAGTGTAGGGTGCTCCTGGTGGTGCTACACTCATGTGGCCTCAGCTCAACCATAGGCAAATGTGGCCCTGAACAATAACTATGGCTGCAGCACAGATAGCCCACCTTGGGCAGTGGGAAGTACAGGCCCCACACCACTGCACCCGCCAGCACCTCCAGCTCAGCCTCAACAGGAGTTCTTCCCATGTTCCTGACGACCGAGAAGCCCTACAATCTGCACAGCCCAAGACAGTGACCATGTAAGGTACACCTATATCCGCCCCCCACCCACCCACCAACTGGACTGTCATTTCCCCTGGGTCCTGGGGTCTGAAAACAACAAATGGTCCAATTTCCATCTTGAATACCAGAGTCTCCCTCTACCAGCTGCATGCACCACCAACCCTCAGTACCACAAACATCAGTGACCAGATACGGCCCAAAGTGTGCTTTTCTTACATAGCCAGCAATGGTGTGGTTGAGGAGGGGTCTTGGGTTCTCCTGCAGGCCTGTTCCTGCTCCCTCAGGATCTGTGCTCCTCAAGGACAAGGTCTTAGCATCCTCTCCAACTGTATCTCTAGCCCTAAAGTTGTACCAGGCCCTGAGGCCCTGGAAGCATTTACAAGAGGGGAATGGTTGCCCTCTCACAGGAGAGCACCTGACATCAGAGGGATACACATGTACACAGCTACAAGAGGGATACACATGGTGCAGAGTTTGCTTTCTGGATTCCAAAGCCTAGTTCTTGGGTGTTGACAGATGTTCCTTCCAAAGGGACTCACAATCCCAGGGAGGAAGGATAGAAGCCTGCACTGCACAGAGATGTAGAGACAGGGGTAGAGACAAAACTGAGATGAAAACAAAGAATACAACTCTGTCCACACATCTCTGCATAGTAAAGGCTTAGACCCTAGGGCAAGAAAGCAATTAGACACTGAGTACATCAGATGGAGATTAAACAGGGTGCCAGAAAATTTCAAAACCACGGGGTTGTGGGGACACACCATGAAGATGACAACAACTTCCCAGCAGGGTTGTGGGTGGAAGGAGTGGAGAGTCAAGCATATGAATGTGCTTGATTTCATCTATTTCAGAAGCTAAGCAGGCTGGTTAGTACTTGGATGAGAGAGAGGGTAATCAACATGGCAGGTTGGCCATGCCAAGGTTCTGTAATACAATGAGCTGAGAGTTTCAATATCTGGTCAGGACGACTTAAGAGTCCTGGATCAACACCCAAGCAACATATGTATGAAGAAAAGCTGAGAGACATCCAGGGAGGGTCTGGAACCCTAGATTTCAAAGGACTGCTTCCCCCTACACACTGTTCTATGCTGTTAGGGTTTTACTTTTAATATTTATTATTACTTTATGTGTATGTGTATTGCCTGCATGTGGGTACATGCACCCATGTTGTGCAATGCCCTCGGAGGTCAAAAGAGGGCGTTGGATGGGAACCTCTGGAACTGAAATTACAGACAGTTGTTAGATGCCATGTGGGTGCTAGGAGTTGAACCTGGGTCCTCTGCAAGAGCAGCCAGTGCTCTTTAACTGCTGAGCCATCTCTCCAATCTCAAAACAAAAAAATTTTTTTTTGAGTCTTTTTGAGACATGTTCTCCCTATAGCCCTAGCTGGCCTGGAACTCACTATGCAAACCAGGCTGGCCTTGAACTCACAGAGATGCACCTGCCTCTGCCTCCCAAGTGCTGGGATTAAAGGCGTGCACCACCAAGCTCGGTGAGGTAAGTAATTCTTAACCAGTCTAACTCCCTCCTTCTCATTCTTTAATTCAAGGATACTTATGGATGCCAGACCCTAGACAGAGTCTTCCCCTAAGTTTATGAAGTGGGTGAGACTTTCAGATCAAGACTTAGAAGAAGGAACTATTCAGTCTTGAGTAGGGAAGAGGTGGTTTCTTGTAGAGACTGGCAGTTACTCTCCAATAAGTGTGCTTTTCTTACATAGCCAGCAATGGTGTGGTTGAGGAGGGGTCTTGGGTTCTCCTGCAGGCCTGTTCCTGCTCCCTCAGGATCTGTGCTCCTCAAGGACAAGGTCTTAGCATCCTCTCCAACTGTATCTCTAGCCCTAAAGTTGTACCAGGCCCTGAGGCCCTGGAAGCATTTACAAGAGGGGAATGGTTGCCCTCTCACAGGAGAGCACCTGACATCAGAGGGATACACATGTACACAGCTACAAGAGGGATACACATGGTGCAGAGTTTGCTTTCTGGATTCCAAAGCCTAGTTCTTGGGTGTTGACAGATGTTCCTTCCAAAGGGACTCACAATCCCAGGGAGGAAGGATAGAAGCCTGCACTGCACAGAGATGTAGAGACAGGGGTAGAGACAAAACTGAGATGAAAACAAAGAATACAACTCTGTCCACACATCTCTGCATAGTAAAGGCTTAGACCCTAGGGCAAGAAAGCAATTAGACACTGAGTACATCAGATGGAGATTAAACAGGGTGCCAGAAAATTTCAAAACCACGGGGTTGTGGGGACACACCATGAAGATGACAACAACTTCCCAGCAGGGTTGTGGGTGGAAGGAGTGGAGAGTCAAGCATATGAATGTGCTTGATTTCATCTATTTCAGAAGCTAAGCAGGCTGGTTAGTACTTGGATGAGAGAGAGGGTAATCAACATGGCAGGTTGGCCATGCCAAGGTTCTGTAATACAATGAGCTGAGAGTTTCAATATCTGGTCAGGACGACTTAAGAGTCCTGGATCAACACCCAAGCAACATATGTATGAAGAAAAGCTGAGAGACATCCAGGGAGGGTCTGGAACCCTAGATTTCAAAGGACTGCTTCCCCCTACACACTGTTCTATGCTGTTAGGGTTTTACTTTTAATATTTATTATTACTTTATGTGTATGTGTATTGCCTGCATGTGGGTACATGCACCCATGTTGTGCAATGCCCTCGGAGGTCAAAAGAGGGCGTTGGATGGGAACCTCTGGAACTGAAATTACAGACAGTTGTTAGATGCCATGTGGGTGCTAGGAGTTGAACCTGGGTCCTCTGCAAGAGCAGCCAGTGCTCTTTAACTGCTGAGCCATCTCTCCAATCTCAAAACAAAAAAATTTTTTTTTGAGTCTTTTTGAGACATGTTCTCCCTATAGCCCTAGCTGGCCTGGAACTCACTATGCAAACCAGGCTGGCCTTGAACTCACAGAGATCCATCTGCCTGTGCCTCCTGAGTGCTAGGATTAAAGGCATGGGCCACCCTACCTGGCACTGTTAAAGAGTTTTAAAAAGTCTAGTTTTAATTTTCTATGACAAAGTTTTGTTTTTTTATTTTATGTGTACTAGTGTATTGTCTGCATGTATGTGAGTGCACCCATGTTGTGCAATGCCACAGAGGTAAGAAGAGGGCTTCAGATTCCCCTGGAACTGGAGTTAAGGACGGTTTGTAGCCGCCATGTGTGTGTGCTGGGAATCAAACCTGGGTCCTCTGCAAGAGCAGTCAGTGCTCTTAACCACTGGGCCATCTCTCCAGCCCCTTGTGTTTTGACAAGGAGGGATTAAAGGGTATGCCACCACACCAGTCAAAAAGATTCTTTAAATGCTAAATAGATTAGATACAAGGGCTAAACTGAAGAATGATGGTATTAAGCTGGACATGAGCAGCAGGTAGTGGAGGCAGACAGAAGACCGGGAGGGCTGAAGGGATGGCTCAGCAGTTAAGAGCACTTGGTGCTCTTGCAGAGGACCCAGGTTCTGTTCCCAGCACCCGTATGTTGGCTAACAACTATTTGTAACACTAGTTCCAGGGGATCCAATACCCTTTTATGGTCTCTGAGGGGAACCAGGCACAAACACGGTGCACAGACATACATGTGGGCAAACATACAAGTAAAAATCAATCTTAAAAAAAAAAAAAAAGAAAAAAGGAGGGAGCAGGTGGATGAGCTCTGTGGTCAGCCTGGTCCACATGGAGAGTTCCAGGCCACCTGGGGCTACCCTGTCTCAGGAGGAAAAAAAACGGGGGGGTGGGGCAGATGGCTCATACCTTTAACGCAGCCACTTGTGAGGCAGAGGCAGAGGCAGGCAGGTCTCTGTGGCTAGCCTAATCTACATAGTGAGATCTTGTCTCAAATAAAAAGGAAAACTAGGAGGGGGAAGGCAAAAGTCCAAGCAGAGGGGTCTTGAAGCAGCAGCCCACGTGAAGGGCAGACCCACCCTGTGGCTGGATTCAACCGCAGAGGCAGCAACCTGTCCAAGGACGCACTTCACCTCGAAGCCACCTTGAGCCTTAGGGTCTCATTCTCTTCTCCTTGCCAGGCAGCCTAGGCAGAGAAGCTGGGCCTCCATGACAACTCACAACAAGCTCTAGGGCCAGGTTCACCCACACAGCTCCCAGCAGAGCGGGGTCGCTGGGCGCTGCTGGCGTCCCTCTGGTTGTGCTGCAGGCTGCACAGGATGGAGGCAAAGGAACCGCAGCACGCGCGCGGACTCACCCAACGGAGTGACTCTGATCTCGGGCATGGTTTCCTCGCGTCTCCACTACGTTGATGCAGCCGGCCTCCGAGTCCAGCCCCGCAAGGCCGGACCCCACGCGCGGCCAAACACTGCGCAGGCGCAACCGCCGCGACGCCAGCTTCCGGTCTGCGAGCCGGAAATGCGGGCTAATAGGTCGCGTTCTGATTGCGGATAGTGTGGCGGCGAGGGGAGGGCCGAGGGCGGGGCTCTGGTCTGCACCCTCTGCAGCTGCCCAACTGCAGGCTCCGGTTGGCCGGTGGGCGTGTGGATTCGTACCTGGCGGGATCCTGGCACCGCAGTCGGGTCCTCCTAGTCGTTTGGAACCGACGGCGAGAATTCGGCTCCCACCGCCCCCCCACTGGCCTCTGCCGCGCCCTCCGCCCTCAGCCGGAGTAGGGACGCTCCAGCCCGGTGCCGCTAGACGCGGGTCGCAGGTGAGACTTGCGGACCTCCCGCATCACCCTGGCCACCTGCTAGGCCTTAGGAGTGGGGGGAGGATAGTGCCAGCTTGTGGGCCTTCTGTCGCTGCCCACCCTGCCTAACCTGAGCTTCCGTGCGAGTCTTAGAGGTGTCCTGCATCACCTTTCGGAAGCTGGCTAGCTGCCTTCCCTGTTGTTTTCAACTCAGCGCGGACAGCTCTGAGAGACTGCTGGCAACTCCTTGGCTTTTGGTCCGGTTTCTGGGCAAGAAAGCCAGGCCGCCGGGTGTTAGGTGTCCAAAAAAGAACCGCAGGAGGCCTCAGAGACTATCTGCTCAGTGGACAACACACAGGCCCTGAGAGGAGAGGGGTGTGCCGGAAGAGTTATGCAGTCGCCATTTTCCTGATGCCCCAGTTAGGGCTGTTCCTGACACCTGGGACAATCCCATCTCTAGAGTCTGACCCATGGGATCTGCAGGGCCCCATCACCACTCTAGTAAACTGTCATGGGCAAGGGATATGGCCTATTTCCTAGAGATAAAGGCCTGATAAGACAGTGTGAGAGGACAGAACTTGCACACAGACCCTGGTTGTCCTGATTGAAGCTGGGGTGTTGGGGTCTTGATGATACAGAATTTAGAGCAAGGGTCCAGCACCAAGGGACACGGGAACCCTTAGACTCAGGTGGTGAGCACTGACCCTGGATATCTGGAGATGCAGCCAGATCCCATAGCGTTGGTCCAAGACATGGCTCTTCGGGTATGTGGCACTAAGTCCTCAGAGTTACCTTTTTTTTTTTTTTTTTTTTTTTTGGTCTTTTTGAAACAGCTGGCCTGGGACTTGCTATGTAGACCAGACTGGTCTCAAACTCAGAGATCCGCCTGCCTCTGCCTCCCAAGTGCTGGGATTAAAGGTGTGCGCCACCAGGCATTGCCAGAGTTTTCTATTTCGAGATGTGAACACAAGCTGGGTAGCAGCACTTGACAGGCAGAGGCAGGCAAATCTTTGTGAGGTTGAGGTCAGCCTGGTCTACATAGCGAGTTCTGTTTTAGCTGTGGCTACAGGGAGACCCTATCTCAAACAACCCCCCAACACACACGCACACAAAGATGTGAGCACAAGCTGAGCCTGGTGGCACAGACATATAATTCCAGCTACCCCAGAGGGAGGAAGACTGAAAGTTCAAGGCCTGCCTGGGCTGTCTGTGATAGAACATTTGCCTAGCATGCAAGAGGCCCTAAGTTCAGTCACCACTACTAGGGGGCAAAAAAAAAAGTGTGGACACTAGAATGTTTGTGGAGTAATTGTAAAAATACAAAAAGAACCCAGAGTCCAGCCTTACCCCAAGGCCTCTATCCTGGACCACTTCCAGAATGTTCTCTGGAGCTAGTGGGAGGACTTACAGTAATCATTTACATGTGGTAAGACCTTTGGCCCAGTTACCCTACTGTTTGGGGTTGCATACAGTTTCAACAACAGGAGTGTCCATCTATCGGTCTAGCAGATGCCAGCCCTACAGTCCTTCCTCTGATTTTGGGATTACAGCCCTGATAAGGAAGGGAAAGCCTGCCCAGCCAACCTCTCTACCCTCCTCTATGTCAGAATTACCTGCTACCTTAGAGTCCCTGCATTAAAATGCTATCCTGAGCCGGGCGTGGTAGCGCATGCCTTTAATCCCAGCACTCAGGAGGCAGAGGCAGGTGGATCTCTGTGAGTTCAAGGCCAGCCTGGTCTACATAGTTCTAGGACAGCTGGGGCTACAGGGAAACCCTGTCTCAAAAAGACCCCCCACCAAACAAATGCTATCTTGACATACTGGGGTCCAGGTGTGACTGGAGCCTGGGATTATGCTTCCCTTTTGGAAACATTTCTCCAATGTATGAAACAGATACTCTAGGGAGAAAAAACAAACAAGCAAAAAACAAGTAGCAGTGCAACCAGAGGGTTCCAGGTCAGGAACTAACAGTCAGTGGCCTGAATGACTAAGAGCAGCTATGCCAAGTTCTGTGAGTACAGGATCTCTTAAGGGCACAGCGGGCTTAAGTAGACTTGGAGAACTTAGAGCTCCTGAGGAGGGAGCTCAGGTAAAGGAATGGAACTTCACCATGGCTCTCAGCAGGCAGTTTCAGGACCCCACTATTTCTTTCAACTGTTCTTCCCAGGCCCCTCCCAAGAAAGTGAGCCACAGAGTAAGCTGGCTCAGCAGAATATGACCATAAGTTCGGTGTGAAACTGTTTCAGCTCATGTTGGAAGATGGATGGCTCGGAGACAGATTTCAACCTGAAAGTCGTCCTGGTCAGCTTCAAGCAGTGTCTCACTGAGGATGGGGAGGTGCTACTGGACCACTATATTGCCAGCTGGAAGGGGCTAGTCAGGTGCGTTTCCTGGGCTGCCTCTCTGTTGAGAGCTGGCTGAAGGGAGGAGGTTTCCTGGTCAGAGGTACACCTGGGCACAGGGACTTGGGCCATCTAATGGATTGTTGCCATCCAGCCTTCCTGCCCCTGTCTCCAGGTAGACATGTGCTCTAGGAGGCTCACAGTAGTGTCCTCTATACCATAGGCTGGCTGAAAGAGTCTAGCCAGGGCCTCAGGTTTCTTCCTTACACAGGTTTCTGAACAGCCTAGGTGCCATCTTCTCATTCATTTCCAAGGATGTGGTTTCAAAGCTGCAAATCATGGAGTACCTAAGGAACAGCCCACAGCGTGAGCACTACACCAGCCTGCAGTCCATGGTGGCCTATGAGGTGGACAACAAGCTGGTGGACATAGATCGCCACTCTCGTTCCCACTACCCTAACTCAGGCTGCCGGACGGTGTTGCGCCTGCACCGTGCTCTGCATTGGCTACAGCTGTTCCTGGAAGGCCTGCGCACCAGTTCCGAGAATGCTCATACCTCCACACTCTGCAGTGATGCCTACAGTGCCACACTGGCTGCCTACCATTCCTGGATCGTACGCCAGGCTGTCACTGTGGCCTTCTGTGCCCTGCCCACACGCAAGGTCTTCCTTGAGGCCATGAACATGGGGTCCTCCGAGCAGGCAGTAGAAATGCTGGGAGAAGCCCTGCCTTTCATTGAACATGTGTATGACATCTCCCAGAAGCTCTATGCTGACCACTCCCTGCTAGATCTGCCCTAGTGGCTGGTCCCCAGACCAGGTGAGCTTCCCTTGCTTAGACCAGGGCTTGGAGAGCCTGAGGCCACTCCCACAGCAATATGTTCTGAGTACCACTGTCACTCCTGCAAGCTGAGGTTGTTGAGAGCCACAAGCTGTGACAAGAAAGATAGGCTGGCTGTTGGACGAGGAGAGGTGGAGGCTAGTATCCTGTCAGTCCACGGTGAGACAGCTGAGCCCCAGCTTTCCCTTCAGCCTTAGTTATGTGTGTCAGGCCTCCTTAAAATACAAATGGTAAATGGAGAAGATTGGGTAGGAGTGGGGCTCATATATATGCAACAACTCAAGGTTGCCCCACCTCTTGTGTGTGGAATCTATGAAATGGTATGAGGCCATGAGACCTGGAGCTGAAGTTCTGTCTCCACCTCCTCCCCTCGGCCATCTGCCCAGCCAATGTGTATCCTTCTTATGCCCATCTCAGGCCTGAGACACAGGGTCAGTGCCAGGCAAACAGCCTTAGGGCCCACATGTCTGAGGCCCCTTCATGTTTCACTGGCTGTCTTCAGGCAGAATGAGGTTTCTGGGGCTGTGGGGGCTCTCTCCCTGCCCATGATTTGCCTATTTGTTAGCCTTTTTTCATATCAAATAGGCCAGCGCCTTTGTGTACTTGGCAGTGCCAACTGGCTGAAGCAGAGGCTTCCCTGGAAAAGTCTGCCCTGCTCAGGGCAGCCTCCTCCACAGCCCCTGCATCATAGCATCAGCCCCCTGGGAGAGACACAGGAGGTGGCTTCCTGCAGTGGTACTATTGCACTGAACCCCCAGCACAGCCCAAGGTTCTGAGATATCAATACCTGCCAAGCCAGGCCCCATCTTCCCTAGCTAGCATCCAGTGAGATGCTACATTCCTTCTCCCCCTGCCCTGCTGCTCCTGTCACCACAGTATCCAGAAGACAAATAGGACATGGCTAATGGAGGGGGTCTGGAGCCTCTTGGCCAGCTGACAAGAGGCCCTAGTCTTTCTCACTTCATCTTCATGCAGAACCCTACGACAAATTCATGAAGACAGTGTGGGCATACCTCCTTCCCTCAAGAGCTATAGTGTTCTGTTCCCACCACAAATAAATTATAAGATTTGTGTATGGCATTCTAGGATGGGTCACTGGGGTGTGCCAGTCATTTGATTATCTCAGTGGAAGAACATGGAAGTACCCAGCATGATTGAAGAGGAGCTAACCCCAGGGACAGGCTTTAAGTATGTGCTCCCCAATCCTGAGGGCAAGGGCAATGGGGTCTTAAAGCATGTCCAGCTAGCACTAAAGGAGGAGCTGCTATGTTATTTGTCCCTAATGGATCATAGCTTGGTCTCACACTATGAGATCTGCATTATCCCCATTTTATAGGTGAGAAAACAAACACCTGGATCACCCATCTTGAGGGGCTAGGTTGAAATGTAGGTATGAGAATAGCCATGCATTGTGGAACAAGGCTAAGGGGAGGCTTCTTTCTGCATGATAGCAGCCTAGACAAAGGATACATATTTAGAGGGGTCTTATCACTATCCCATCCACCTCATCTGTTGGGGCTGTACACTCTGTGTAACCCTGCCTATACCTAGTTAAGAACCAGAGGCTAAGCCAGGTGTGGTGGTACACGCCTTTAATCCCAGCACTCAGGAGGCAGGGGCAGGTGGATCTCTGTGAGTTCAAGGCCAGCCTGGGGCTACAGAGAGACCCTATCTCAAAAAGACAAAAACAAAAACAACCAGAGGCTGTGTAGTGCTAGCCAAGACTGATGACTTGAGATTGGCCAGAAAACAAGGATACAAGAGCAGCTATGTGTGCCAAATACAGGTTCATGATGTGTACATGTGTCTTAAGTACCTACATGTGTATTGTGGGCACCCTCACTAGGCAGCAGGGAAGTGCAAAGGCCAGTTCTATAACACATAAGCTAGACCCAATTGACTTTGAGACTGCTCAGGCTCCTACCCACTCTAGTTGGGGTCAGTAGCTTCCTCCCAGCTTTGGGTGCCAGGAGGCTGCTGTGTTAGCAGGAGCTCACTCAGATCCAGACTGAGGAAGTACAGGCAAAGTCAAGCAGAAGCTAAGAACTGCCCACTGCACACATGGGCAGACACCTGGCCCTAGCAGCTGCAGGAACCCATTTGCTTATGGCCTTTCCTTGTTTGCATGGACCCCTACTTTCAGGACCATCTGTGACCTGTCTCTAGAGCATGGGGCCTAGGGGGACCTGAATACCTGCTCAGGCAGGACAGCTTGGACTGAGTGTGCATGGGTCCCCACAGCCTCCAGGTGTCAGAACCCTAGCAGAACAGCTGGGACCCTCAAGGGGTCTGCCCTGCTGGAAGAACTCAGACAGGTTAGGAGGCCCTGATCCCACTCAAAGCTCTCTCTACCCCAGCTGTAGGTTAGAGCCCTTGCAGGCCAGCTGCCTGATGTCCTTGTGGAGGGACCACCCCTACAGTCCCTGACTATTGACATGCCTTGACTTGGAAGCCAGAAGATAGGTGTCTCTGTGCCTACCAGAAGGCCACTAGGTGTCTGGCTCCCCCTCCCTCCACAGTCACCTGAGACCCCCAGGACCTCAAATGGCTCACAGCTATCCTCTTCTTCACATTCTGGAATGAAGGGTGCTAAGGGGCTTGGGCACAGGCAAGTGACAAGGCTACAGTCAGTGGCCACTCAGAGCCTGCCTACTGGGTCACTCGGCCAGAGAGCCTAGTGATGATGTAAAGATGAGTCCAATGTATACAAACCTTCAAGCTTAAGATATTGAGCATGTCACCGGAGACCCTGAGGGCTTGGTAGCCAAGCATGGCACTGGTTTTGCTAAGCAAATCCTCTGTTCCCTCCTCCTGGACTCAGTACATTTAGGGCTTCAGCCTAACAGTGTTTGGGCTAGAAGCTGCTACCTGCCATGCCAAGCCTGGCTGTTCTGCATCTCAGCCTGGCTGCTCTCCTGGACCTCAGGACTGCAGCCACCTTGTGCCTGTCAAGACAATTCAAGGCACAAGGGGACTATATACTGGGTGGGCTCTTTCCCCTGGGCTTAACTGAAGAGGCCACCCTGTATCAGAGAACACAGCCCAACAGCATCCTGTGCACCAGGTATGGAGGCCAGTAGCTGGGGTGGGGATGAGCCCAAGCTTGGTTATCCCTGGGTTTGTGGTACTCCCAAGCTGGGGGATGAGGTGGTGGCTATCTGGGGGATGAGGTGGTGGCCACCTGCAGTCCCATGTGGCCTCAGGTTCTCACCCCTGGGCCTGTACCTGGCAATGGCTATGAAGATGGCGGTGGAAGAGATCAACAATGGGTCTGCCCTGCTGCCTGGCCTGCACTTGGGCTACGACCTCTTTGACACATGCTCAGAGCCTGTAGTGACCATGAAACCCAGCCTCATGTTCCTGGCCGAGGCAGGCAGCCATAGCATTGCTGCCTACTGCAACTACACACAGTACCAGCCTCGTGTGCTGGCTGTTATTGGGCCCCATTCATCAGAGCTCGCCCTTATCACGGGCAAGTTTTTCAGCTTCTTCCTCATGCCACAGGTGGGTCAACTTCCCTTGTGTTTCCCCAACCAATCATGTCCATTGAGCTCCCACATCAGGAGGTACATTTGACCACTGCAGGTCAGCTACAGTGCCAGCATGGATCGGCTAAGTGACCGGGAGACGTTCCCATCCTTCTTCCGCACAGTGCCCAGCGACCGGATACAGCTGGAGGCTGTTGTGACACTGCTGCAGAATTTCAACTGGAATTGGGTGGCTGCCTTAGGCAGCGATGATGACTATGGTCGTGAGGGTCTGAGCATCTTTTCCAGCTTGGCCAATGCAAGAGGTGTCTGCATTGCACATGAAGGCCTGGTACCACTGCACACCACCAATGGCCAGCAGCTGGGCAAGGTGCCAGTTGTGCTGCACCAGGTGAACCAGAGCGAAGTGCAGGTAGTGGTGCTGTTTGCCTCTGCCCGTGCTGTCTACTCCCTCTTCTACTATACTATCCATAATGGCCTCTCACCCAAGGTGTGGGTGGCCAGTGAGTCCTGGCTGACCTCAGACCTGGTCATGAACCTTCCCAATGTTGCCCGTGTGGGCACTGTGCTTGGCTTTCTTCAGCGGGGTGCCCTATTGCCTGAATTCGCCCACTATGTAGAGACCCGCCTAGCCCTAGCTGCTGACCCAGCATTCTGTGCCTCACTGAATGCTGAGCTGGACCTGGAGGAGCATGTGATGGGACTACGCTGCCCACAGTGTGACAACATCACGCTGCAGAACCTGTCATCTGGGCTGCAGAACCTGTCAGCTGGGCAATTACACCACCAGATTTTTGCCACCTATGCTGCTGTGTATGGCGTGGCCCAGGCCCTTCACAACACCCTACAGTGCAATGCCTCAAGTTGCCCCACACAAAAGCCTGTGCAACCATGGCAGGTGAGGGTAAGGTTTGTGCTGGGCCAGTGCCTACTCCTACAGGAGCACTGGGCCACCAGGCAAAGCTGAAGCCTGTGTTGGCTGGAGGGGTTTATAAGTAAGCCTTACCCCACCCCCCACAGCTCCTGGATAACATGTACAACATGACCTTCCATGCTCGAAACTTGACACTGCAGTTTGATGTCAAAGGGAATGTAGATCTGGAATACGACCTGAAAATGTGGGTGTGGCAGAGCCCAACACCTGTATTGCATACTGTGGGTACCTTCAATGGCAGCCTTCAGCTGCAGCCTTCCAAGATGTACTGGCCAGGCAACCAGGTAGGGACAAGGTAGCAGAAGCCATGGTGAGCACAAACTTGGGGCTGCCTGTGGGTCTGGGGCTAGTACTGGCCAAGGGGAGCCTGATCCAAGCTCCCATGTCCAGGCACCAGTGTCTCAGTGCTCCCAGCAGTGCAAAGATGGCCAGGTGCGCAGAGTGAAGGGCTTCCACTCCTGCTGCTATGACTGCGTGGACTGCAAGGCAGGCAGCTACCAGAAGAACCCAGGTGAACCACCTTCCCTAGAGTCTGCAGTTTAATGCTGAGGCCAGAGCCCATGGGGGTCTGGGCCAAGGAGCTCTGTCCCCCATTACCAACCCCTACATTGCTTCTTTTCTCCTCCCCTTCTGCAGATGACCTCACCTGTACCCCATGTAACCAGGACCAGTGGTCCCCAGAGAAAAGCACAGGCTGCTTCCCTCGCAGGCCTAAGTTCCTAGCCTGGGGGGAGCCGGTTGTGTTGTCACTGCTTCTACTGCTTTGCCTGGTGCTAGGCCTGGCAGTGGCTGCCCTGGGCCTCTTTGTTCGCCACTGGGACAGCCCACTGGTTCAGGCCTCAGGTGGGGCACTATTCTGCTTTGGCCTGGCTTGCCTGGGCCTCTTCTGCCTCAGTGTCCTCCTGTTCCCAGGCCGGCCAAGGCCTGCCAGCTGCCTAGCACAACAGCCACTAGTTCATCTCCCACTTACAGGCTGCCTGAGCACACTTTTCCTGCAAGCAGCTGAGACCTTTGTGGAGTCTGAGCTGCCACTGAGCAGGGCAACCTGGTTATGTCATTGTCTTCGGGGGCCTTGGGCTTGGCCGGTGGTGCTGCTAGCCATTCTGGTGGAGGCAGGACTATGCATCTGGTACCTGACAGCTTTCCCACCAGAGGTGGTAACAGACTGGAGGGTGCTGCCCACAGAGGCACTGGAGCACTGCCGCATGCACTCCTTGGTTAGCCTCAGCTTGGTGCATATCACCAATGCCATGCTGGCCTTCCTCTGCTTTCTGGGCACCTTCCTGGTGCAGAGTCAGCCTGGTCGTTACAACCGTGCCCGTGGCCTCACCTTCGCCATGCTGACTTACTTCATCACCTGGGTCTCCTTTGTGCCCCTCCTGGCCAATGTGCAGGTGGCTTACCAGCCAGCTGTGCAGATGGGTGCTATCCTATTCTGTGCCCTGGGCATCCTGGCCACCTTCCATCTGCCCAAATGCTACATGCTTTTGTGGCTGCCAAAGCTTAACACCCAGGAGTTCTTCCAGGGAGGAGGCCCCAGGGATGCAGCAGATAGGAGCAGCAGTGGGCATGGGGAGGGGACTCAGAGACACAATGAATGACCCCTGACCCAATGACCTCACCTTCAGTGAGCACAGCCCTAGTAGAGATCTCCCAAGCCAGCAACCCCCAGATGGTTCCCCAACTTGAAACCCTTCAACTATAGACTCTGATTCCCAAGTTGTCCACTCACCTTCAGTGTACTTTAATAAGGACTTTATTCCTACTTAACTCTCAAAAGCAAGCTTAATCTTAGCCCTGTTATGCCCCAACTGAGGCCTGTCCAGGTAGGCTTGTCCTAGAAAGTGGCCTACAGAAGGTGCCTTAGGACTACATGGCTACCTCCTAAACTCAAGAAAGCACCAGGCAGACCCTGGGGGAGGCCAGAGGGTGCTGCTTGCCTGGCCATGCCCAGCTGGGACCACCACGCAGCATCCCAACCAGGCATCCCAGGTTGGGCATATATATCAAGACAAGAGCAAGGAAGGCAAATAGAGGCCTACCCAGAAAGGGGCCAACATCCAGCCTCCTCCCTGGCCCATCCCCAGCCTGTAGAAAAGGATCAGGTCACCACCAGCACCTTGGACAGAGCCCCCGGCAGAGTTGGGGTCAGCACCACGGCCAGCTCCAGTCACCCAGGACCCCTGGAGTCTGCGTCTAGTACCAAGGACAGAAAGTTGCCTGCCAAACCCTGCTGCTAGCCAGCACCAGGGACAGAGCCATAAGCCTGTGTGGAAAATAAGGAGGGCATCTTCCAGCTCCAGGCAGAACCTTGGACCAGAGATCTGGGTGAGCTCTGGACAAGCCCTGACACCTGAATCCTGACAGAGCTCAGCTGGAGAAAACAGAAACAGGCCACACATCAGTCCCATAAAATTAAACGCTTTTTAGTGTTTAAAATAGCATTTACACAGAAGCAGCATTTACACAGAAGCAGCTCTATGTGAACTACCCAGACTCTCAAACTTTGACACAATATCTACAGTGCAGACATGTGGGGCCACCATGCTAGAATGGCAGTGGCACATACTGATGATAGGTAGCCATCAGGACAGCAAGGATGAGACAGGACAGGACCCCATCTCTGTAGCCATTGTGTGTACCACCACTTCATCTGAGGCTGAGACACAGTATACAGGTGCCTGGTCTCCTGTCTCTCCCACTAGCCACCCTCCACATACTTCCAGTACAACCTGTGTTGCCATTTGCTGAGTATCAGGTGGAGAGAGGGACATGCAAACTGCCCCCACTGGATGACCAGCTGCTGCCCTCAAAGCAGGCAGGATAGGAATAAATAAATAAGTTAGACCTCACCTGGACAGCCAGAGAGGCCTGAGGGCTCTGTCTAATCCCTCACAAACCCTTTGGTCTGGTAAGTGAAGCCCATGAATTCATTGGGGGGATGTCAGCCTAGACCCCTGTGCACAGTTCTGGGAGAGTGGAGGCAACACAAAACCCAAAAGGATCATCATTGTCCTAAATGAGTCACCTCCAAAAAAGGAACCAGGGATTCCCTGAGGCTTGTGCTAAGGAACTAAGAACAGAGATGTCCCCTCACAAGGGTCTGCAAGCTGCTCTACCACCAAAGGCCCCAGAAGCAGGCAAGATGCCAAGCCCAGACCCTGATGGTATGGCTGCCCTCAGCTTACTCCCACTACCCTGGCCCAGACCCCACAGCTGACCTATCCTGACTGGCCACCACTAAGGCAAGCCCATTGAGTTCCTGGCACAGCAGAACCACCGGCTCCTGCCACAGACAGGGCTGAAGGCACTGGCTGCTGATCACATGATATCCACGAAGAACTCGCAGGGGTTCCCCATGGCTTTTTGGAAGGACTGACGGCTGCCTGTAAGTTCTGGGGGAACAGCAGCCAATTCCCGGACAGGTGGCCCTCCTGGTGGCCCACCCACCACTGCATAAGCCTTTGTCAGGGGGTGCAGCGGGGGAAGCCCTGGGGGGACAGCCGAGGCCTGACTTCGAGGGCTGCTGCCTCGGCTGAGCTGGCTAACAGGACGGTCCCGCCAGCCAGTGCTACCAGACCCGCTTGGTGCTACGTGGTCAGATTCGCTGCCACTGCCCCCAGCTCCAGCCGCACGGCGCTCCTTCTCTCGGCCTGGGGCCCGATGGCTGCTCCTTGTGGACCCACTGCTCTTGCTCCCTGGGAGAAAGGAAAGGACAACAGAGTTAGGACCAGGCCTGGCCACTTCCCGGACCACCAGCTGCTCTCAGACAGCTAGGGCAGGACCCAGTTGGCCTGAGGGGTGGGTGTGTGGGTGGGATGCAGCCATGCAGACACCAGGAGCAGCTGAGAGGCGAAGGGCTAGGGGCAATAGGAAACAGCAGGGATAATGGGGGCCAGCTTGGCACTCCATACCTCACCCCAATGCTTCAATCAAGGGCTTATGTTACAGCTAAGAACCTAAACCACCAGTGAAGGCCTAAGTACCAGTATTCCCATCAGGCATCGTGGGCTCACCACCCAAAGATCCACTGTCCACCCCACCCCAGGGTCCTGGTCAGCTAATTGGCTTAGCCCTTGTATTGAAAGTGGTGGGAACCTGAAGACAGGTGCTGGCTGGGGACATGCTGAGAAGGACACGGGGGGACCTGGCTTACCGGCCCGAGGGTCCACTCTGCTAGTCCTTCAGTCTAAGGCTTGCTCAGCACAAAGCAAGGGATAGCACAAGTCACATACAAGCCCAGTGCTCACCCATGGCCAGCTGGGCCTACTATGGGTCCAGCTGGGCTTGAGTGCATACCAGGGTCGGTCCAGGGTCAGCAGATACTCAACAGCTTTTCCTTGGGAGCTGCCACCCTCTGGTCCACCTCTTCTCTTTCCCATCCTCCAGGTCCCCTAGGTTGGCTGCCTGCATCTTTCTCCAGACCCTGTAGCATGGCCACTGGCCTCACTGTGTCACACTCTGCCTAGAACCTCTGCTTCAGCCCACCTCCTCCTCAGAGACACCCATCATCTCAGGTCTCTGATATCTCTGGGATACACTCTTAATGGCACTGTTCACTGCTCATGCTGGTACCCTGCTGGGCTTCAGATACCACAGAGGACAAAACTCTTCTCCCCCTGGAGCTTGGGGCCTGAAAAGTGACCCTACTTGATGCCCTAGGCACTCTCACCCTCCTTCTTGCCACACCATCTCCTGGCCTCTTGCCTGTCATCGTCATCTGGAATACCACACTTGCCCCCGCCAGGTACAGTCTTCCTGTTCCCTAAAGCCTTTCCCCACAGAACCAAGGTGAGTCTCTATACCAGACTCCTCCCTATCCTTCCCATACTGGCTCTCTAGATGGAGCCCACCAGGATCCAAGCACAAAGCAGGAGCACAGGGTGCAGCAGCAGGGCCAGACAGTCAGGGAATGGGAATAGAGGAGGGGCTGGCACGGCTCTCACCTTCACTCTGCTGACTCCCAGCACTGCCGCTTCCATAGCTGAAGCCAGGGTCCTGGTAGGCAGGTGGGAAGCAGGGCGGGGGCCCCGGGTACTGGTAGGGGTAGCCCTGACCCAAGGGCCAGGGTGCAGATGGGTGAGGCAGTGGTGCTAGTGTGTCCTGATCCGAGGCTCCACTGGAGCCACTGTTAAGATTCAGGGCTGCGAGGTCTGGCAGGAAGGGAGGGGAGAAGTGAATAAGGGCAAGTGGATAGGCCCCAGAGTAACTGCCACCCTGTGACCCCCCTACTCACTGCTGCACAGATCGCCGAAGACATAGTAGCACTGCTCAGAGAAGGTGATCTTGTTAACTGTGTGCCGCAGGAAGCCATGCTTCAGCATACTGCTAGCGTATTTCCTTGCCTCCCGCCGCTCCTTGAAGCCCTCCACATGTGTGTACAGCCAGTCCACCACGTCCGCCCCTGGCCATAGGCTCATGAAAGTCAGGGCAGCAAAGCCCTGGGCAGCTGCATCAGAACAAAAACAGACTGGGCCCTTCCCACACAGCCAAGGACTCACCAATGACAGCATTAGCAATGGTGATCTTAAGCCACATGCGGTCACGGATCTCCAGTCCCGAGTCTGGCAGCTGCATAACCCGGACAACAGCACCCATGTCACTCTTCACTGTCAGTGGTGCCTCCTCCAGCTCTGCAAGGCATAGTTCCCTCAGCCCATGCCAGCAGCCAACAGGCATGGGCTGTGTTCTAGGTTGCCTGATACTAGCAGCCCAGACCCACAGTATGGACCCCCATGGGGTTGGGAGCAGGGAATGGGATCAAACCTCTATCCCCCACCCTTCGAGGCACCTCTCATCAAGATCCTGGGCTAAAACTGAGATGAGGCCACCCTCATCCAACAGTCCAAGCACACATGGGCAGGCCAGCTCCTTTTCCCCCAGCACACTCAGGCAGTTAGTCATGTTAGGCAACAGGAAAGCAGAGCAAAGACTACACATCCCCTCCCAATCCTCAGGATGGCCCTGGCAGGACCCTTCCACACATCCAGATGACAAGTAGGGCTGGGCTGTGGGAGTTGTGTATGTGTATCTGTGCACACACTGTGAAGACACTGAGGACAGACACATCATGTGTAATGGGCCCCAGGAATGCATAAGCACCAAATCTCAAGGCTGGGACAGAACCTTGTCCTCCAGCCTGTTTCCTGCCGGGTCTCTTGTGAGCTGCCACTTACGTGGGGCGCCAGGCACTGAGCTGGTTAGTGAGGAAGAGCTGGTGCGTGTGATGGCGCTGGAGCAGGGACTCGTACCATAGCGGGGCAGGGCACCCGTCAGTGCTGCTGTGTGCGACAGCCAGGCAGCTGGGTCAATGGGTCGCACCGGGTCAGCTGGACAGTCACCGCATGACAACAGATGATGGGTGGTGGAGGGCAAGGAGACAGCATGGGGCAGAGAAGACAGACCCTTCAGACTGGGCCCAGGAATCCCAACCCACCTTGTCCCCTTCATGTGATCACTTACCCCTTGGGATAGTAAAGTAGCTCCGAGGGGTTGGATCCCAGCACTTAGCCACTGTGAGGCTGATAGGCCTGCAGAGTTGGGTGGGTCACATGGGTAGGGCCAGGGCCCTCCCATCCTGGGTCCCTCCCATCCCCATATGGATCCCCTCCTCACCCTGTCTGGGATACGATCTCCCGTAGCACCCGCACAGCATCATCATTGCTCATGTTCTCAAAGTTGACATCATTTACCTGTGGGGTTTGTAGAGGTCAGGGGTTGGCCATGACATGGGGGGATGCTTCCTGTTCCTACAGCCACAATGGCTCGCACCTGAAGCAGCATGTCGCCTGGCTCAATGCGGCCGTCAGCGGCCACGGCCCCGCCCTTCATGATGGAGCCGATGTAGATGCCACCATCACCCCGGTCGTTGCTCTGGCCCACGATGCTGATGCCCAGGAAGTGGTGCCTCTCTGCAGGAGGGGCCATGAGCAGGCCCCATAGTCCCCCCACCAGCCTGTGCCCACCCCCACCCAGCACCCACCAGCCCACAAGACCTCACCCATGTTCAGTGTGACGGTGATAATGTTCAGGGACATGGTGGAGTCAGTGATGCTGCTGAAGGAGGAGGCCTGTGGAAGGACCCAATGAGGGGCTGGACAGGCACTGTCAGAGCAGACACCCCACTGACCTGCTGCCTACCCGATCTGTCTGCCGCAAGCGCTGCTTCCGCCGGCGGCGTTTGTGCTTCCGAATGAGCCGAGAAGAAGTACTCTGTTCTGTAGAGCTGCTCAGCCTTGGGCAGGAAGTCAGAGTTCAGAGGGGCCAGGGGCAGGAGCCAGGAGCCAGGTAAGCACAGCCAGGCAGCACTCATAAGTATGAATCTCCAGCACACACAAACACACGCACGCCGTGCCCACCGGCTTGTGTTGTCCTCCTCATCTGAGTCGATGAAGCTGCTTGACTCGAGCTCACTGCTCAGTGCAGTGGATGCGCTGTCTGGGGGCAGCCCCAGGTCCCGCCGCCGGTCCCCCCTTGGGTGCCCATTGGTTCGGGCAGCTGTGGGGACAGCAGGATGGGAGCTGACCATGGGACTTCAAGGTCACAGAATGAGGGTGGCCTGTGCATTTCAAGTCTCTGTTGGTGTAGGAGCTGCAGTGACTCTGAAGCCACAGAGGGTAGGGGGAGCACCAAGTTGGGGCCTCTACCCAAGGACCTCCACTGACTGAAGGAAATGTGTGTGGGGTGTTTCCAGGGGAGGTTTGGGGTCCAAGTCTGGGCAGCACAGCCACAGTACCCTCATCACGGTTTCGGCGTCGGACTCGCTCCCTCCGGTGACTGACCATAGATTCTGTGCCTGTCTCATTGTCCATTCCATCTCGGCTACTGGCAACATTTGGACTGCACAGATGAGAAGGTGGGATTGGGCAGACCAGATCACAGGCAGTCAGTACCTCAAGTGATTCCCAGTCCCCAACCCTCCAAGTGGGACCCCAGTTCTAGAAGATGCTCCCACCCAACTGCAGACCCCTCCTTTGTTGCCAGCTCCACTCTTCCCAGATGGGTCTTGGGCAGCAAGCACCCAGGAATGGCAGGGCTCTGCTCTCCCAGGGGCCTTACTGGAAGGAGGGGGGCCTGGAGTCACCAATGCCACCTGTCCTCTCAAGGGGTGGGGGCAGGTCCGTGTGGCTGTCAGTGCCCTGGGACCCTGCATCCGAGTGAGCGCCCTCAGCCAGGACCAGCTGTGGAGGGAGAATGAAGGCTTGGATGCCCCATCTGCCTCAGGGTCACCCCCACAGACACCCAGGGCAGTAGACAGCCCCTCCCCTACCTCTGTTCAGTCCCCTCACTTCCCCCAAGAAGAGCCTACCTGTGTCATACTGGAGTGGAGCTACCCACAGACTCACCCAGGAAACCACTCGGCCATTGAAGCAGGGCAGCTTGGCATTATCATCAAAAATCTCCTCTTTCACCACCCTGTGGATAGACATGGCCTTGAGGTCACCTCATCTGGGCCTATCCAGAGGGCTCTAAGGTACATCTCCCACCATAGAGATGGGGTACCTACCACACCACGTTATCACTGAGGGTTGTCCAGCACATTCTCTTCTCAGGGACTCTGCCACCATTGATTGGCCCTAGGCCCCAACCCTCAGCTCTGGGGATAATGACTGTGGAGGATTCATGAAAGGACAGTCTAGGGCTCCTATTTACCTCCAGGGTCAGAGCCCAGTTTCTGGTGGGTCAGACAGGGTGAAGGGTTCCTGGAAAAGGCCCTAGTTCTTCAGCTTCCTTGGAACAAGGTTCTACCCCAGGCCTGTATCTAGCCATGCATTTCCTCTGGGGAGGACTCAGTAACTGCCTCACCAAAATACATAACACTGAGGCTCCTCTGGGGCCGGTTCTCAGCCTCCCTCCCTATCTTAGGTATAGTGGCTCTACCCATCCAGGTGCCCAGGACAGGCCATGGAGCCTCTCCGCCCCTCACCGCAAATCTCACTGCGTATCACACAGGTTCTAATTCATTCGAGAAGGGCTGTCCACTCACTCCAACCCTGTACTCACACTGAGGCTGCATAGGAGCAGCAGGTTGTACACTCATGTACCAGCCCATCTTCTTGGGGCATGACCACTGGCTCCTATCCTCACCTTCCCAGCATACCCTCCTCTGTGCTGGAGCACTCATGGGCCCTAGTCAATAAGATGTGCATCTCATGCTGCTCTGTGCCTGTGAACCCTTGGAGTTTTTCGCACATTCTGCCAGCCCAGAGCAGGGCCTGGACTACAACAAGGTACAAGAATGCAAGCCCCTTGTGTGAATATGGGAGGACCAAGAAGAATACTGCTCCTTCCCTCACAGGCCATCCACCCATCTAGGGAGACAAAGTGTTTCTCATGTACTGGACCAGTCCCAACTCTCAGGAGGCTATGGTAGGCCTCTACTTGAGGGCCTAGAAAGACATCTAAGGACAGAGCTAGTCAAACCCTGGCTGTACCCACTGACCACACCCAGTCCTGCCTGTCTCAATGCTGCTCTCTAGTCAGATAGGCTACAGAGGGGCCAAGTTCACCCAAGCAGGGTACAAAGGGTCAGGGAATGAGAACTGGGAAGGAAGCCAGATAACCTGGAGTCAGGACTCAAAAAGGCATGGGCAGCAGCCAACACAGTCAGAGGGGCAACTGGAAAGGGGCTGTGGCCTCCAACTATCTCTTCAGGTCCCAGATTCTCCACCTCCCTGGCACTCAGCTCCATCTAGCTTAGTGGGATTTTCCACATCCAAGACTTGGGTTCAATGGAGAAAACAAGAGCTGGGAAACTGTGCTGGTCCCGGAAGTGCACCTGGCAGGAGGCAGGCTTGTGGCCCAATGGGCCCAAGGCCAGCAGCAGGTAGCAGGCAACCCCATCACAGAAATATCCCGTCCTATCCAAGGAGCAAGGCCCTTGTCCACCCACCTGAAAGGTAGAGAACAAGGGCTGAGGGGGTAGAAGCAGCAGAGCAGACCCCAGTCAGTTCTCTATGGTTCTACTACTGCCTCCAGATGTCTGGGGGGGCGCTGCATGAATAAGGTGGGAACCTCAAAAGCAGAATCACTTCTCAGAACTCTCTAATATCCGCTGCCCCCCACTTACAAGTCACAGCCCTGTGACTTGCCCCACTCACAAGACTGGACCAAGGCAGCCAAAAGAGGGGCTGTCATCATAGGAAGACCTGGAGCTGTCCAGGGTAAGGTGGGGTTTCTCTTGAGGATGACAGGGCTCTGCCCATGGCAAGTGGTGAGCCAGGGCTTGCAGCAAGCTTGCCATCTCCAAGTAACCTGACAGCAACAGAAACCCAGACAGGAATCCTTGCCTCAGTCCCCAACCTTGGCCCCAAGTGGGCCTGCCAATAGCCTTTCCCCTGCCACACCCAAGCCACAGCCCTCTCTGACTCACCCATGGGGAGACATATGAGCACCCACAATAGAGCCTGCCTAGCTTTCCAGCAGGTACTGTGTTGAATTCAGATCAGCTGGGACTATAATGCCCTCATAGCCAGAGCCTTAAGGTGATATGGTCTGCCTGAGGTGTCCATGCCTCCTGCCCCTACCTAGTTGCCCCTTCAGGGCCCAAAGGCCCTGTTCTCCAGTCTTCTCAGCCTGAGCAACCAAAGCCTTACCTTCCACCCTGGGGGTCAGTGTGATAAGGGAGGCCAGGAGGGCAGGACAGCAGTGAGATGGGTAGCACTTGCCCCAAATCCCAAATATATTCCTGTCCCTTCCCTACCCTTGACCAGATAAGGGGCAAGCACTACCACACCCACGGTGGAAGCAGAAATAAGCCCCACAGGTATGTGATGTTGCCCACAGCTGTACAGCCTCCTGAGAGCTCTAGAACAGGAATGAAACAAGGCATAGCCAAGCCTCCCCACCATCCTGAGTCTTGCATGCCTGGCCTCTTAGGAGGAAAGATTGACCCCTGTGTCTCCCCTGGCTCTCTGCACAACCACCCAGAATGCCCCTGTGGGTATTTTGTCCCAACCACAGAATTCCTAAAGAGATCCTTGTGGTTACAGGACTCCACTGCCACCCCCGCCCCCGGGATCCACCCCAAGGAGGAATCTGCTCTAAGGCAGGGCCTTGGAACCCAGCACAGCTTGACTAAGAAGGAACGAGTTCCTAGAGATCACAGTACTCCATAGTGACCACAGTACTCCATAGTGACGAAGTCCTGAACAAGTATCATCCCTATACCACCCCACCCCTTCCATACTCAGGACCAGAAGCTGGCAGAGTGAGCAGGCACAGGGCATGGAGGATCCTGAGTCCCAAGAGGCTTCTGTGTGCTCCCAGGAGTGAGGGTCCTAATGCTTACCAAGTCTTGGTATGGTCTGGGCCCTTGGCCTAAGGAGTTCTATTGCCTATAGATTTGAATTAGTAGGTGTGCATAGACTCCTAACTAGACCTAGTCACTCTTCTACCAACCTATCCCATGGGACACAGAGCCCCCAGAATCTGAGTCCCTTCCCAGGCTCAAGCTGTGTAGGATCTAGAGTCCACACAGCCTAGGGAATGTATTATAATTACCTGGATTCTCACAATACTAGGAAGAATACTGAGAGGCCAACCTGGATTCTCACAATACTAGAGAGAATACTGAGAGGCCACATTCCTGACCCCAGAGAACCCTACCAGGGCACAGGGAGCCCTCAGAACATTTGCCTATAGGCAAAGAACCCCAGAGCCCCAGGTTCTCAGCTCTTACTCTTGCCTGCCTCCCCCTACCCCAAGCTCTGGGTATCTTCACCTCAGAGATGAGGAGGCTAGGGCCACTGTAAGGAAGATGAGCTCAATACTGTATCAGGCAGGCTGGCATCAGCAGTACACTCCTGGAGTCAAATGCCCTCAGTTCTCTGTCTCAGACCAGATCTGGCACTGTCACCAGAATCAACACTAGACACTCCTGTGGGGTCCACCAGAATCGTAGAACTCCTGCTCTATACTCTGGAGGTTCTGGGTCAGAACAACCACATGCTGCACATGAAAGTGGGCACAGAAAGAGACCTTTACCTTGTTGGCCAGAGATATACCCTGGGAATGAGGCTTAGCCCAGGGCAGGCTCTGCTCCTTACAAAGTGGTCAATTCTGGTTTGGAGTAGGTCAGAGACCCCGACTCACTAGGTACTCCTCAGAGACTCCAGTCTGAGGCAACCCCTGAGGCCACCTACCCAGTTCAGCCAACCCTGCCTTCTCCTAATATCAAGCTACTTCCTTGGGCAAGGAGAGGAGGAAAGCAGTGAAGAGGGGAGGGGCTCTCCCAGGCTTCTGAGGCCACCAGACCATCAGAGGACCAGGGGAGAAAGTGTGAGCCTACTGACCTACCTGCTCAAGTATTTCTGTGTCACCCTACCCCAGATTCTATCTCTAAGGTGATCTACTAGTTCTTCCACACCGGGACCCCAAAGTTGTCTCTGGGCTCTCTGCTGGCTCCTTCCCCCTACCTAAGCCATTCCTAAGCCAACCCAAATATCCAAAGGATGTACTTCTGCTTCAAGACCCAAATCTGCCATCCCACCTCATCAGCCAAGGCACCTGCAGGTTCTCCAAACCTACCACAGGCACAGCCTTGCAGGGGCCTATGTGGGCTGATGCTGGGCTGTGGCTCTTGGGGTACCTAACCCAACAGAGGTATGGGAGCTAAGGGCCAGGTGCCCTCGGAAGATACCCAGAGTGTGTAACAGAAAGCAACCCAGGACTGGGTCTATTCCTCACCACTCAGTTCTAGGGGCACAAAGTTAGTGAAGAAGAACAATTGTGACTTTGGTGATTTTTTGTTAAAATAATAAACTGTTAAAATCTAAAATGCCCCAATGACTGAATCCAGGGATGCACAGGCCCAAAAGCATAGAAATCATGGAGGTAGCCCAGCCAGGAGAGTCAGAGAACACCAGCCTCCACTTCAGGCAGACAGAGCACCAGCTATGGGGAACACACAGTCTTGTCTGATTTTTTCTGGTGCTCGAGGGAAACGGTGGGTAGGCAAGAGACTCCAGTTGTCCAAACCATGTTTGGCCCTGGGCAGATGCCCAGAGTCACAGAGAAGTTCAAGCTTGATCTGACCTGGGGCTGCTCAGGGACCCTGCAACCATAGAACCCAGGAAATGGCCTCAATGTCAAAGTCCCAAGAAGCAGCCACACACAAGGGCACTGCCAGTCTGAGGGCACCAATCACACCTGCTCTACCCACAGGGCCTGCTCATGCCCCCACCCCCAATCATAGCCAAGTTGTGGACTCAGGTTACTGTGGCTATGCCCAGTCAGGCCTTTGTTGCACAGCCTCCTGTGCTCCCTGTCCCAGAGGCTCATATCCCTTCTCCTGAGACAGGCACTACAACAGTACAGCTAGGAGACATAGTAGCTTAGAAGCTGGTCCAAGTCAGTAGATAACCTGAACACCTCCCAAGAATGCAAATGCTGTGTGGCTCAGAAGAATCAGAAGCCCAATAGCCAGGAACCAAGGAGACAGGAGACACTGAATTCTTGGTCACCAATGACCCTTGACCTCTGTCCTGCCATGGGGACCTTAGAGGGTTCAAGAGGAGCCTGCTTTCAGGCTTCAGAAATTTCTGTAAGCCCCAGCAAACAGATGGGTGCCCATGACCCACCCATCCCACACTACCAGACCCCCAACTGGGGATCCAATGGGGTGCTGGGACTAGCAAATCCTCATAACCCTTCCTCTTGACAGTCCTTTGAACCTAGGCTTCATAAACTGCACACGCTCCAGGGCAGTCCTGAACTCTGGGTTCCCACCCCCTAGAGAAAGAATGCAGCAGGCCCTGTACTTGACAAGGGAGAAGGGATGGATTTGAGGGTACCTCGGGCACCCAACCTGGACCAGATGGGCACAGGGGCACTCGCGAATGTCCATCAGGAAGCCTGGGTCCTGGACTTGAGCTCTGGATAGAGCTCTGGCCTACCAAGCAGCCCAGTCAAGGACCCAGGATTCCCAGCTGGACACAGACAGGTGAGTGCACCCACCAAGGGTCACCACGGCGCTCATGCAGGCACTGACCCTGCCTACACTTGGTTCAGCCCCCACAGGGTCGCCGGCGCTGCCGGCTGTCAGCCCCAGTCCCTACAGCCCTGCCCGCACAGACAGGTGCCTGTACCAGCCCGCGCGGGGTCCCGGTGGCCGCCGCACACGCGCGGGAAAGGGCCGGCACCCCCGGCCCAGGCCGCGAGGCCCACTAACCCGAAGTCCTGGTCCATAGACTTGAAGAAGAATTTGTAGGCGTGCACCGGCCGGTTGCTGAGCACGTTCTTGAAGTCAGCCAGCGTGACGCGCTCGGGGGCCACCGGCAGCTTGACCAGGTACGGTGTCTCCTCCTCATCCATGTGGTAGATGATCTTGGTCTCCGCCATGGCGCGGTCGCGGCGACGCGGGGCCCGCACGGCGTCAGGCCCGGCTCACTGCTCGGACGCGGGGCGCCCTCCCCGCCCGCCGGCC